ATAATATGTTAGACTGTATACACAAATAGGTTAGGTTATGTATAAAATAATACGTCAAACTATGAATACGTCGTATGATGTATGCAAACATATGCCAGATTATTTATAAAAGAATAGGTCAGTCTATACATATGAGAATAGGTCAGACTATGTATACAATAATAGGCAAGACTATGTATACAATAACAGGCAAGACTATACAAAAATTGACCAGACTATGTATACGATGATAGATCAGACTATGTACACAAGAATCAGTTAGACTATACATACAATAATAGGTCAGTCTATGTGTACAGTAATAAGTCAGACTATGTATACAATTATAGGTCAGACTATGTATACAATAATAGATCAGACTATGTATACAAGAATAAGTCAGACTATGTATACAATAACAGGCAAGACTATGTATACAATAATAGGCAAGACTATGTATACAAAAACAGGTCAGGCTATGTATGCAAGAACAGATCAGACTATACATACAACAATTGGTCAGTCTATGTGTACAATAATAGGTCAGACTATGTATACAAGAACAGGTCAAACTATGTATACAAGAACAGATCAGACTATACATACAACAATAGGTCAGTCTATGTGTACAATAATAGGTCAGACTATGTATACAAGAACAGGACAGATTATGTATGCAATAATAAGTCAGACTATGTATACAATAATAGGCAAGACTATATGCAAGAACAGGTCAAACTATGTATACAAGAACAGATCATACTATACATACAACAATAGGTCAGTCTATGTGTACAATAATAGGTCAGACTATGTATACAAGAACAGGTCAGACTATGTATGCAAAAATAAGTCAGACTATGTATACAATAATAGGCAAGACTATGTACAAGAACAGGTCAAACTATGTACACAAGAACAGATCAGACTATACATACAATAATAGGTCAGTCTATGTGTACAATAATAGGTCAGACTATGTATACAAGAACAGGTCAGACTATGTATACAATAATAGGCAAAACTATATACAAGAATAGGTCAGACTATGTATACATTAATAGGTCAGACTACACACAAGAATAGGCCAGTCTATGTGGAGAATAATAGGTCAGACTATGTACACAAGAACAGATTAGACTATACATACAACAACAGGTCAGTCTATGTGTACAATAATAGGTCAGACTATGTATACAAGAACAGGTCAGACTATGTATACAACAATAGGTCAGACTACACATACAAGAATAGGTCAGACTACACATTCAACAATAAGTCAGTCTATGTGTACAATAATAGGTCAGACTATGTATACAATAATAGGTCAGACTACACACACAATAACAGTTCAGATTATACATACAGTAATAGGCCAGTCTATGTGGAGAATAATAGGTTAGACTATGTATACAAGAACATGTCAGACTATACACACACGAGAATATGTCAGACTACACACACGAGAATATGTCAGACTACACATTCAACAATAAGTCAGTCTATGTGTACAATAATAGGTCAGACTATGTATACAAGAATAGGTCAGACTATACATACAATAATAGGTCAGACTATGTATACAAGAATAAGTCAGACTAAGCATACAATAATAGGTCAAACTATGTATACAATAATAGGTCAGACTATACATACAAGAATGTCTATGCGATAGAACGATTGTTTGGACATATGTTTTGTCGAATGTCGATTATTTTATATTTCACTCACTAGTTTAATACTCTGCATTATTCTTATTTAAATATATTATCAGTCGTTCAGTTCGTTATTCTTATTTAAATATATTATCAGTCGTTCAGTTCGCTATTCTTATTTAAATATATTACCTGTCGTTCAGTTCGTTATTCTTATTTAAATATATTATCAGTCGTTCAGTTCCTTATTCCTATTTAGATATATTATCAATCGTTCAGTTCGCTATTCTTATTTAAATATATTACCTGTCGTTCAGTTCCTTATTCCTATTTAGATATATTATCAATCGTTCAGTTCGTTATTCTTATTTAAATATATTATCAGTCGTTCAGTTCGTTATTCTTATTTAAATATATTATCAGTCGTTCAGTTCATTATTCTTATTTAAATATATTATCAGTCGTTCACCTCATTATTCTTATTTAAATATGTTATCAGTCGTTCAGTTCATTATTCTTATTTAAATATATTATCAGTCGTTAAAGTTTTTGCTGTTTGATGAAGTCTACTAACAGATTTCACCTCGTGATTTAAACAGTATTCACTCCGAACAGTAGAACCTGTAAGAAATTGTGAATCACAACAACTTACACCCCCCCCCCCAAATCAAACTTATTCCGTAAGAAAAATTTTCAACATTGATCGTAGTTATCTTACTGTAGTATAAGTTATATTCAATGCCCTTACGTTTATCCCTTTTATACATATCTTGATTCCTGTTTTATATCGTTTTATAAGTGTTTGGCTAAGTTAAAACCAGTGGGAAGATGTACTTGCTTTACTAAATGATTCATACCACGTTTTGTAACATGGGTTGGGTTTCACTGCATAACTTCTAAGCCACGCCAAAAAATCCTCAATGCTGCATTGCATACGAAGCCACACCATATAATCAGTTAACTTTAGGTTTGGAGTAATTTAATATGACATAGGTCAAACTGTACTAGAATAAAATTGAAGCTTTACCATATGGTATTATGATTTAACTTTAGGTTTGGATTAACTTAATATGACATATAGGTCAAACTGTACTAGAATGAAACTGAAGCTTTACCATATGGTATTATGATTTAACTTTAGGTTTGGATAAACCCGAATGGATTATTATTTGGGTTTGTCAGATTTTGCTGCTTATATTAGAGCCATCTGGTAGCCAAAGTTTAAATGTTACAAAGGATAGTCCTAAGATTGCTACATGTCATGTATACCCTGAAGTTCTTTTGTCTTTATTATATAAGATCCATTGTTGAATAGTACTATACCCGAAACCGAAACGTTTCAGTTTCGAATATGCAACCAGTTGCTTATGCAGTTGGACCTCGAACATTATTTTAATTTCTATAAGATCTTAGGTGGAATTGTATCAAACTCTGGTCGTTATCACTTTGATATAAGTTGAACAACTGTGAAAACCTTGTATTTCTTGATAACACAGTGATAATTTAAATCTTACTTTAAGCATATATTCAACCCTTAAAAAGCTATAAATACAAGTCAAGAAAACACTTTTCAAAAAAGGAAGTAAATGTAGAGATGACTAATATCATCCCTTCAAAAACAAGATAATAGGGATGGCATTTGTATCATCCCTACATGATAACACAGGAAAGAATTAACATATAACAACGTATATATAACTATTATATTTCACAATTGAGTTTAATTTAACCTATTTGTGTCCGTTAACATTCTACTACACTGTGTGCCTGTGTTATTATGTAGGGATGATACAAATGCCATGCCTACTATCTTGTTTACATTGTTTTTGAAGGATTGATATTAGCCATCCCTACATTTACTTCCTTTTTTTTGAAAAGTTTTTTCCATACATGTTTGCTTGTTGTTGTTTTTTTAATGCAGTGTTTCAACAGACATAAGAAGGTTGTATTTATAACCAAGTTGTAAATACAGTGAGGTTCCAACTGTAACATTTATTGTATACCTGTTATTGGCTGCTAATTCCTGATTCAACCTCTACTTAAACTTTTTAAAGGAACACCAAATTTCTGTAAGAAAGCTAGCTTCAAGAGGTAATGATAACATTGTTTGCACTAGAATTGTGATTTTTTTATTAATACTAGTTAATAATGCCAATAAAAGCAGATACTCCATTTGAAACTATGCCACCTCAGTGAATCTGGTTGACACCATTGTTTAGGTTTTTCAGTTATCATGTAATAAAAAACAAGCAGAAGAAAGAAGAACAAGAAATTCAAACATTTTGCTATGATATTTACAGACATTCCCAGACCTTGTGACTCAGTCATTACATATACTGTATATTGTTATAAAAAAAAAGCAACACTGTAGAGTATTGTAAAGTTCTGATGACGTATTGAGGAGATATTTAAAATACCATTTCCATGAACAATCCGAGCCATCCATACATAAGCATACCGCCTGCCTGATATGTCTCAAGTTAGATTAAAATATAAAACAAAAAGTGGCCATTTCTTAGGTAACTTTCACAACAGATGACCAGAGAGAGAAATGTATGAAGTGTTTTATATTAATCTTACATCTGTTTTTATTTTATTTATCAGGATTTATTTATCAGCCAGGATTCAGAGAATGTTTATCCGCAAAATTAAACAATATAGAACAACTCGCGTGTGACGTCACAATGCCCTCAATTTCTCTGTAATAACCGGATTTCGCATAAATTTGAAGATGAAATTAACTACAATTGGAAGTAAATTACTACGAAATTGGTGTTTATTACAAGTATACTGGGTGATTTAAAAATTATAAGTGACACTGTCTAAAACAACTTGTTTCCATGGGATTAACAGTATTCCCATAATGTTTGCCTTCAGGCGCTCCCAGAAACGTGTTTTAAAGCAAACGGTTTGTTTTACTCATTGAATCTATAACATTCTGAGGATCTATGGTAAAGATTTACGTGATTTAACTAGTTATAGACACTTAGCTAGAGAAGTGTCCTGTCACTTTGTGGTATTTTAGAAGGTTATGTTACTGCCGGAGGGTGGAAGTTGAGAGCTAACAGAGAGTGATTTCTCTATGTTCGGCTGGTTGTTTACATGTCATCTTCAACCAGTACCCTGAATATGCGCAGTTTCAATTTTCGTCCAGCAACAACGGAGCAGTGACAAACCTTGAAGCAGACATCTTATTGGCTGATGGCAGGCATGTGGCCCCACCGCTTGCCGTGCAGGCGAGCAATGACAGCTAGCAAAGGGGCGGTCGCCTTAGCCGATTGGCAGGTAGCTGATGAAGGGAGCGACAAATGTTTGCTCTCTTGTGGTAAGACGTCTCAACTTCTGTTGGCTGAGATTAGAAGCGCACTTTGTGGTCTAGCTCGACATTCCATCTTGAGACTATAAGTGACATCCAACTTGTGAGCGAGACCGTCTTCACCCTCAAACTGTACAGTCGCATACTTGGCACATAGATCTATAAGTGCTTTTAATTGAAGCTACTTGGAATACCGAATCTGGTCGAAAGAATGGACTTGACTGCGTTACATACCACTCTTCTTTGTGTCGGGTCCTACCTTCATCCATTTCAAAACTACTTTGGTTTTACGGACTTAAGTATATTCCTCTAAATATCAACTTCAACTCTGTGATAGGAGTCAGGTCATAGAAAACGATAGTGAATATGAAGCTTGAATGACAGACAAGATAGACATAATATATCAGGGAAGGAGAACCAAATATATCAAGAAAGAAATGTCCAATTTTGAAGGACAAATATAACAGGCAGAGTGAAAACTCAGAAGATATATACAGAACGTAACAAAGTTTCTGAATCTCTTGGAAACGGGAACAAAGAGAGAATTGAGAGCTGGTGTTCTTGGTTGTATTTTCGTAAATTTCGTCAAACTTACAATACATGTAGGAATTGGCCACCAAGTATAGTTTGTATTAGACAACACTCGGCAATCTGAACATCTAGTCATTATATATGAAAACTGTATCGTTTGTTAACTCAATATACTTAACAAAGAGCGGAAAATACAGTAAAAGAGTCATCACAAACCAACTCAAGTGTAGTGGAAAAGTCATCACACACACTAAATTTAATTTAGTGAGAATGATTACACACCAACTGAAGTCCAGTGCATGAAAGAGACATTAGACCAACTGCAGTCCAGTGCGTGAAAGGGACATTACAGGCCAACTAAAGTCCAGTGAATGAAAGAGACATTACATGCCAACTGAAATCCAGTGAATGAAACAGACATTAGACCAACTGAAGTCCAGTGCATGAAAAAGACATTACAGACTAACTGCAGTCCAGTGCATGAAAGAGCCATTACACCAACTGAAGTCCAGTGAATGAAAGAGACATTACAGACCAACTGAAGTATATATCACAGGAGAGAAATTACGGGCCAACTCAATTCCAGATCATAGGAGAGACATTGTAGACCACCATAAGTCCAGATAATATGAGAGACATTGCAGAAAGTCCAGTGAAAAAGTGATCGCAGACCACAACTCTGCCGCAAAATATACAACCGGCTTTCATTTTGTTTAAAACTCAATCGGTACCTCACATCAAAGGAAGAGAATATTAGAAAATTGTCACTAAACCATGTTTAGAAACCTTATACCTTTAGTTAGGTAATTAGGTCACTCATTATAGTTAAGTTCGTTTGTTGAAATCAACGTAATGATGTGAACGCTTTCTTCAAGAAGCAATAAAACACGAAAGACAAGAGTAATGATTAACAACAATCGAATGATATCTCACAGTAGTAGTTAGTAAACATCTGGTACATATATTGTTCTTTTCTAAGAATCACCGAATCTACACGTAACTGTTCTGTGAATATTGAATGATTTTCCTTTAACTGCGGTTAAAGATAGTTAATACATTAACTTATTCCAACATATGTATTCTAATATTCTGTGCTTGTTTAGATAACACTTTCCGAGTTGAAGCAGATAACAACGAGTGAATGTAAAAGGCAATACCTATATCTTCAGCTTACTTGTCATTAACCTAATCGAGCACACGCTTCGAAGTGAAACTGACTCCAAAGCTAGAGGAACGTTGCACAAAGTATCAAAAGAATGAACTATTTTATAATTTAAAGAAACGGTGAGAAAGAAGCTGAAACTAAGACACGCCTTTATGTTGTGAATCAAAAATTACGAAAAATAATAAAAAAATGTTGCCGTTACTTAGTTACCATGAAAGAGCTTGTTGGTGTGGCAACCGACTTGAGTTAGACTGTTGAGAAATCTCTGGCCCAATCACAGAGCTTAGAAGATATATCAATCTGGCCAGAATTAATAATCGGTGTTCTAACTACTATAATTCACTATACGACTGGCTGGTGGAGGAATCGTGAAGAACATCAGCTTAAGAACAGGTAATTAAGTTGATCAGACCATCTGTAGCTTATACACGGTAAGTCTACAGCAGAAATTATTTCATCCTGACTTTAATTTATGTTTTATTATCTTGTTATGGTACTTTGTTTTCCATTTTGCTAAATCTTATGTATAGAAGTCAGAAGAAACTTTTCAACATTTTAAAAGTATTATGTGATATAATTCTTTTAAAATGTCCAAATTTTGGATCCTTTTGCTACAAGGATGGTCAAAACGCATCTATAAATAACTAACATTACGTGGTAGACTTTGTTTTCTATTATAAATTATATAGAAAAGTTTAAAGTTTGCGGTTTGTGTATTTTCAATAACTTATCTTGAAATTGTTATTGCTTTAAATAATGCCTATTTTTTAATGTTTTTATTGCCAATTTTTTATATACTTATAAATATAAATCTTCGCTATTAATTCTTTAAGTTGGATCCTCCCTATCTAACAAGGCTTCAGTAAATGTTTTTATTTCAATCACTTTGTCTATTCTGCTCATCTCGCCACATCCTGATAATTCGGTTAATACTCGATTTAATGTAATAAGTTGAGTGCATATCCTTGATTTGTTTCTGATATTCCTCACTGTTTCTTGCTACGGCAGTATTTTTCTTATAAAACCACAAAAATTCTCTAAAGAAAACACGAAAAACTATTCATACATTAAAAATGGTTTTAGGTTTTTACAAAAGGCTATCGAAATATTTATATGATTTTCGTATTCAGAAATACAACGTTTAATATATTTATAGAACAAATATGCCGTTATTTTGTACTCTATTTAATCTGATGTTTCGGATAACAAAATAAGAAAAGTTTGAGCTGATATATATTATATGATTTCTGGAGTCAGAAATATAACGCTTGATATATTCATAGAATAAATATGCCAGTTATTTTGTACTCTATTTAATCTGATGTTTCGGATAACAAAATAAGAAAAGTTTGAGCTGATATATATCATATGATTTCTGGAGTCAAAAATACAACGCATGATATATTCATAGAATAAATATGCCAGTTATTTTTTATTCTATTTATACTATGTTTCGGATAGTAAAATAAGAGTTCGTCTACAGTATAACAAACGCGTGTAATCTTTTAAGTTTATATACACTATTCTCGATAATTTTTATAGTCAGTCTTTCAGTGCACATTATTTTGTCTATTTTTTAAAGTAAAAAAATCATAACACGCTATAACAGAAAAGCAGAATCATTATAATTAGTCTAGTTTTTACTGTGCTCTTAGTTATAAATACTATATTCAAAACAAATACCTTTGTGGGGTAATATGATATACAGTTTTTCGTATAAAAAGGCTAATATGATATTTTTATACGAAAAACTGTATATCATATTACCCTTTTTATACGAAAAACTGTATATCATATTATCCTTTTTTATACGAAAACTGTATATTATATTATCCTTTTTTATACGAAAAAATCATGATGAGTAAAATAAGTTTCACCAGAATCTAACACTTGATCATGTAAATTATGACATAATGTTAATTAATAACTTCAGCTTTTCTTTAATATATTGCACGATAATTAGGTAAACAATTAAAACTAGGCCATTTTCGGATTTCTTTATAAATATGGCTTAAATCGAAAACAATTTTATTAACTTATAATGATTTCTAACATACCACGCATGGTGCGCAAGCCACAAAAATGGCGGACATGAAAGCGTGGACTAAGCCTATTGTGTTTTATGATCGCTGTATTTATTGATTTCTATTCTTACGCTATTCATGTGTTTACAGATGTTACAAAATTAGAAATATTCCAATTGGAAATTTTGAAATATTGATCGACGAGATCTTAATAAACACTTTTTATTTTGTGTTAATGAACTCGTCCTTCATTGTCTCCAGAGAATTTAAAACTTCTGAAATGTTAACTTGAACTTAAGAAAATAATAATATAAAGTAGTTATAATCTGACAGTCAATCCCGCTATTCGTTGGTAAAAGAGCAGCCCAAGAGTTGGCGGTGTGTGGTATTGGTTAGCTGCCTTCCCTCTAGTCTTTCACTGCTAAATTAGGGACGGGTAGCTTTGAGCGAAATTCAAAACAAACAAACAACGCTTTATATATATCTTATCCGTGAGATGTTTGATTATTGAAATAAAGAGTGGAAAGCGAGATATTTCGTAATACCCGCACTTAATTCAATACGTTCTAACACTTATGACACACATTTATACAGTATCCAAACTAGGCATAGTACGGATATTATTAAAATCATGAAGGAGTTAACTAGTATCACTAATACCAAAATTGTACTTTGCTTTCTGCACCCAGTAACAAATCACGTACGTTGTACGGAATTGTAAACCCTGTACGCCACAATTATTCTCATGGTTTTTATTGTTTTATGAAAGTACTTTTAAAGGTTTGTATTTTAATAAAATTATAAAAATATCATCAAAACTTTGGAGAAAATAGGACGTGGATGATAACAATATATATATATATAACACTGGATCTGGCGCTTCCACCGTGAGGCGCTTTTGTAACTAAATACCATGCATATGGTGATGAAAAGGTTACAAGTGTCTATGTTAATTTTCCAACTTTTTTAAACGCACATGGATTCATATCACTCACTAAAGATTTCTAATTGTTCAGCGTTTTTAAACGCACGTGGATTTATATCAGTCACTAAAGATTTCTAATTGTTCAGCGTTTTTAAACGCACGTGGATTGATATCAGTCACGAAAGATTTCTAATTGTTCAGCGTTTTTAAACGCACGTGGATTTATATCAGTCACTAAAGATTTCTAATTGTTCAGCGATTTTAAACGCACGTGGATTCATATCAGTCACTAAAGATTTCTAATTGTTCAGCGTTTTTAAACGCACGTGTATTCATATCAGTCACGAAAGATCTTCAAACGTTAAACATCCATGCGTTGTACTCTGTATCAGATTAACATCTCAATAGATGGTCCAACTCACTAAAAATAGCACGTTAAATATCCCTGCATTGTACTCTGCGACAGATTAACATTTTAAGAGATGATAGAACTCATTAAAAACAGCAGATTAAATATCTCTGGATGTAAAATAAAATTAGAAACAAAAATGTTTCTTAATTTACAATGTTAGGTTTCTAGTCTTTCATATTACTCTTCAATTAAGAAAAATGTCCCCAGATAATATAAAAAATACAGGTACTTATAATTTAAAACTGTAACAAAAATAATATATACAGTTAAGAAAAGTGTCCCCAGATAATATAAAAATACAGGTACTTATAATTTAAAACTGTAACAAAATAATATATACAGTTAAGAAAAGTGTCCCCAGATAATATAAAAAATACAGGTACTTATAATTTAAAACTGTAACAAAATAATATATACAATTAAGAAAAGTGTCCCCAGATAATATAAAAAATACAGGTATTATAATTTAAAACTGTAACAAAATAATATTTTCATATTTAATAGATCTGGTCATCACTTTTTTCCGGTAATTTACTATTACGTTTATAAACAGAAGTATTTTTTCTATGCTGCAATTGCAAACATTCTACTGTTTATATGGGATTTTGTATATAGGTTGTATATTTTTGTATATGGGATAATCATATAATATCATCAAAATAAGAAATATTTCCTTGGAAACTTCATAAACAATGTTGAATGTGAAAAAATTCCCCATATTTAAAAATTAACATAATAAATATTTCATTCTTTATCACCAATTAAAATTATTTAGCATCAAATAATTTCCGTTCCAACCAAGAACCTTGTAGATTAGGTGACGTCAGTTATACTCTCTAACGAAATGGCATATATTTCAAGTAACTTTTTGAACGAAACAAATATACATTGTAACCTGTTAGTGTTTGTGAACTTTTGCAAAATTGCATTAGAACGATAAAATCTCTGGTCTTTAAAAGACACGATTCACATCTTAATTAATATTACTTTTTCGAAAAAAAGCATAAAACTCACCTTCTTCCTGAGCAATCGAAGAAAGATATGTTCGACGTGAAAATGTCTGTTTTGTTATAGTTTTCCCCGTTTTTGCTCTTAATGACTTTTTAACGAAACATCAAGTATATGCATTTTTTATTTCTTTACGTTACTCCTTATGTTTATTTGGCATAATTCTATCATTAAATTTGACAGATCAAAATGAAACCATGTGTTTTATTCTCAGACATTCTCAAAGTATACTATTTTAATAAGACAAAACTGAGCAACAGCGTTTGGAACATATGTTTCACTTTTATAGTACGATATACTTTTATGATTTTTTCATAATTATGTACATTTCTTAAAAATACAAAACCTTAAATATTTCTTACCTTTCTAGGCTGTACATAGTTTTGTGCTTTTTCTCTAATTCCCTATTGGGAAAGTTGGAACTTAAAGAGAAGGCAAACAATACCTTTACACAACAAGAAAGAAGTGTTTACTTGCGGCTGAAAAAATTCTAAAATTTCATGTCCTATTGTTTTGTAAAGATAATGGTAGAAAAATAAAATTATTTAAACCTAACCTTCTGAACATTATTCTGAGGATCTAAACTCATCTGTCTGATTTCTAGGATCTAAAGTCAGTTGTCTGATCTCCAGGATCTATATTCAGTTGTTTGATTGCTAGGATCTAAACTCAGCTGTCTGAACTCTCCGATCTAAACTCAACTGTCTGAACTCTAGGATCTAAACTATAAGATCTATATTCAGTTGTCTGATCTCTAGGATCTAAACTCAGCTGCCTCAATTCTAGGATCTAAACTCAGCTGTCTGAACTCTAGAATCTAAACTAAGATTTCTAAATTCTAGGATCTAAACTCAGCTGTCTGAACTCTAGAATCTAAACTAAGATTTCTAAATTCTAGGATCTAAACTCATCTGTCTGATTTCTAGGATCTAAACTCAGCTGTCTGATCTCTAAGATCTAAACTCAGCTGTCTGAACTCTCCGATCCAAACTCAACTGTCTGAACTGTAGGATCTAAACTATAAGATATATATTCAGTTGTCTGATCTCTAGGATCTAAACT